GGAGTATATGCGATCACTTATTCTGCGCAGGTGAGATGCTGAACAATTGATAATTATATATTGTTAAGGAGTTGTTATCACTATTTTATCCGTATTTTGAGAATGATAGTTATGATTTCATTTGGTTCTGTCAGAAGTACGCATAAGGAAATTATGACGGTTCGAATCGAAGTGATTAGTTTGTAAAGTAGTTGGATGGATTATCATTTCTCTTTCGTAGCATCAAACAATAATTTAAAGGGAAGTACATTTGAATCGATCAAAAAAGTCGCAGCAATTAGTCTACCGGATGACTTCAACAGTCGCGAAGAGCGATATCCTGCAAATATTTCATTTCCGAATAAAAATTTCGCATTCATATCGAATGGTTATGGACAACTTTCGCTCTATTCAACTGGCGATCGTAGCAAAAGCGCAGTTTGGGAGGTTGCTTTGACATTCTTCTTGATTCGATTCATTTACTCGTTTGTTCGATGTGCTCAACTCACTTGAAGAGTTGAGTTTTCTACTTTGAATGTGAACAGTGTGCAGTTAATTAAGCAATAACTGCCACTGAATCTCGATCTCTATTGTGGAAATGCTGGATTATACATATCTTTCCTCAATTGGTGTTGATATTATATTTAGTGATCGGTCATCTGAATAATCACAAATGGTTAATGAATATACAAGAGAAAGTGATTCAAAAGCAGATGGTATTGTTAAGTTTGAGGTGAACTTGCATAGAATAGTAAATGCAGTGTTCAGTGATTCGAATGCAGTAGAAATTATTGTAGTTAGAATGATGGAATGGTATAAAATGGGTAATTTAAGGAATGTTTGGATGTGAGTAAGTTACTGAACACAAACGACAATAAATCAGCGGCGTTCATAATCGCCGAAAGTGTGTCGTTGAAAGAGGATTGTGTGGATGTGTTGCTGAGGAAAGTGATACCGAAGGAGAGACACTCATCGAAATCACATTTCTGGAATAAACTTTTGTGGATTTCTTTGACTTATGGTTAGCGCGCTTTCCTTCTTATGCGATTTTTTGGTTTGCTCTACATTTTATTCATTGTGCTTTTTGCTTCAATCATTTCTCAGTCAATATGTTTACCTGTGATACGAACAAACCAACTTTGATTAAATTCAAGTCTGAAGGATAATCGTTTTATTGCATCCATGATCGAAAAGTATCTTATCCATGAGCACTTCATATTGATTTTTTGTTCATTTGTGATCATTTTTCGGAAATCAAGCCAAGTTACCAGAGAAAGTAAAACTGAAAATCTGTAGTATTGTAGTTTCTGTGACGATAATCCTATCATCAATACTAATAACAATGACAATGATGATAGTAATTATAATAATAATAAACTGGTTGATAGAATCAAACGAATGGAAGATGAGTGCCAAACGCGAGGTGATTTGTGAAGGGCATATTGAAATGATAACGTTTGATTCGTCGATAAACAATCTGATAGTTGACAGTTGTGGTGATGTGAACTTTGTCTATGATTCTGCTCAGAAGATATCCAGAAATCATAGAACATCGTTAGTGGAAGATGAAAGTGGACAGATTGGTTCGTTTCATCGTTTACTATTTTCTCTCATATCTATGGCTGAACATTTTACCGACCGCACAACTGAAAACTCTAATTTGATGGATTGTTTACTAGGCGATTTTTATTCCCGTTTCCCTGTCAGCAGACTTTATCGTAGAATGGCCTTTCTTCGTATCTTTATTTCCACTTATCGACCCGAAGCACTTCATTGTGATCAAAAATCTTATCGCAAATACTAGTGTCCTTTACATTTGGCCAGGTGGCTTGTTAGTGCGGTCTTTGCATCTCCTTCTAAGTAATTCCCTTGCCGTCGTCTAAATTCTCATTCAGTCGCCATTCCATGCCAGTATCCTAATATTTCAAGTCTATCCTCTTGTCCTGTTCAAAATGTCTTCATCAGATTAATTGCTTTGCAGTCCATCGATTAATATAATATGTTTTCAGTGGAAGAATCAATGGAAGAAGATAAAAAGCTGTATTGTTGGATGCAGTCGGATGAGGATGTGACAGTGGTGTTCAATATAGGTGAGGTGATACATAAAAAGGATGTGTCGTTGACGATGAGCTCATCGAAAATAAAAATTACCATCAAAGGAGAGTTGTTGCTTGAAGGTGAATTGGGCGGTGTGATTCATGTGGATGGATCCACGTACACGATTGATAAAAACATGTAATACAATTTCATTTTACTTATCAATTCGTATTTCTCATTAAAACTGGGTTTCTTTACAGAGATAAGATGTCATTTGTTATACATTAAATTTGGATTTCAGCGCATAAATGTGTATAAAGTAAGCAAAGATGGACTTTAACTTTTGCATTCTCAAAAGGCTAGAATTTACTTTAGAAATATACATTTATCTATACGGAAAACGTTCACTGTAGTGGATGACAGATATTGAGAGGGTTGTGAGGGATGCGAGGACATTTTCACTATTGTTGTAGGGGCGCGAGGATTTCTTTAAAATTTTAAGGGGTGCGGGTAAGGAAAAAGTTTGAGAAGCATTGCATTAAAATATTACGATCATCTGCTTCAATGGCTTCATCTCGGAAACGTATTTGTTATGAAACGCATCGCATCTTGCAATTGGATTTCAGACTCGAATTAACTCTTTCAAAAAGTGGTGCGATTCACTGGAATGAATTGATTGTTGGTGATCAACGAGGCATATATCAG